GGCAACTTTGCTGATGGCAGTCCTAGGAAACAATCACTCCTTGCTGTCTCCCATAACCACATGCTTGCCCTTAAGCCCTCAACTTATCTCTGCCTCTCCTATCACTTCTTGCAGGACCTCATCCTGAAGATCGTTCCACACACCTCTGCCAGTGCCCTGCAGCATTGTCTCTGGCTCAGGAGCCTCTGACCCATGGGGTAGCTTTTTGTGCAGACAAGCCTGCAGACTACAGGATACCAGCATCCTTGACAGATTCACCCCCTAGGGTGGAATATACCTTGGGACAGAATAGCAGGGAAAACTGCTCTAGAAGATTTAGAACCAGCTGTCCGTTAGAGCTCAACTCTAGGTCAGGGTGCCAACTAAACACACTATCAATCAGGTCATTTTTCTTCAGCCTCTTCATCTGGAACATGAGATTACTTTGGACTATGAAGGTCCTAAGAGCCTAAGCATCTGCTCACTAGCTCCTGTGGCAGTCAAGAACTTAGCAAAGAATTTTATCCACTACAAGTGATCACATCCAGACTTTTCCTCTTTTATGAGGTTTACTTACAGTAAAGCTTCACTGAATACTCTACAGGAAAGCAGCAGCTTGACTGGTAATTGTATGCTCAAAATAAGAATGGGACAGGAGTGTTTATCCACCCTCCCCTTTCACATCCATCCTCACCTGAATACAATGTGTGTAGCCAGAGCAAACGCCACATATCCCAGCTTTGCATTTGTCTCTTTTGCTCTCAACATTCAGGGATGTATGCTGCCATCTAGCTCATTTCTCTCTGACTCAAGAACGCATCCCCCAAACCAACATCAGCCCTTCACCCTTCATCCTCCTTGACCAGATAGATGGTTTGCATGCCAAGTCTCTAAGCTTGATGAAGATAGCACTGATTTGTGCCATAAGGTAGCAGCCACATCTACATTCCTGATCATCCTCACACCTAGCACCTAACATCACCTAGCCTGGTACTAGGGCTAGAGAGATGGCTTAGTGGGTAAAAGCACTTGCTGCACAAGCATAAGGACCTGAGTGCAGACCCCAATGCCCACCTAAAAAGTCAGGCATGGCAGTGCATGTACCTGTAACACCAGTGCTGTAGGTTGTATAAGCCAGAAGGATTGCTGGCCAGCCAAAGCTCCAGGTTCACTAATATAACCTGTCTCAAAAAATAAGGTGGAGAGAGGTAGAGCAGATCAGCCAAAGTCCTCCTCTGGCCTCTACATGTCTGCACACACACCTGCACATTTATCACCACCACCCCACCCCAGGCCTGGTACTTAGTTTTCAATTTTAAAATAAACACATGTATCACTCAATGAACACATGTGGAAACTGACTTCCAATTACATCTGCAGTGTACTGACTGCATAAATGCCATTAGGGAAAATCACTACAACTCTATGCTCAAGTTCTCTTTTCTGAAAAACTAGGTAGCTAGATTTCACTAAAAAATACCTTCAGGTTTCCCTACAACTTTCAACTGAGCCCAGGAACTTTAATGAACAGAAAAAGACTAAATTTCATTTTTAATAAATTTGAGTGCAAGCAAGGCTAAGAGGTTGATTCTTCTGAAACCTCACACCAGAAGTCCCTCCTTGCTGGACAGAACCTTATTCCCTGAAGAACAAAAGGCTCCAAGCAGCAGCCAAGCTGCAGATACTGAAACTATCTCCAAGATGCTGAGCACTGTGGAGTTTGCAATCACAGGCTTCCTTAGGAACTGGAAGAGTACACCGTGCTGTCAAAAGAGGTCCACAGGGACTTCTGCTGCCCACAGCTCCTCCACCTGCAGCCTCTCCCAGGCTCCCTCTCCCTGCTGGTTGCCTGAGGCTCCACGTGCATATTTTATGATTTCTAGCATATTCTTTCTTATCTGACATCCTGCAGTGCATCCCTCTGCTGCCTGTAATATTTCGGTGACTGGCAGGAATGTTCGCATAAGAGGCAAGTCCCTGACCTGCAGTTTATCACCATAGGTCTCACCTCACCTATCTTATCCCCTCACCTGGTCCGGAATTCCTTAAGAACAGAGACCACACCCTCTATTCTCTTCCGGTTCCCAACAAAACAAGGATAGAGTGGGCAGGATGCTGGGCGACCTTAGGAAATTCTGTAGAACACATCAATGAAATAACTGCTTCCAATGTTTTAAAATTTAAAAGTCAAATTGCCATATTTCCTGGACAAAGTTACCAAGCCCCCCATCCCTTTTGGTTATACATTCAGAATAAGTTAAAATCTTAAATGACCTTTCTACAACTGTACTATTTTCTTAGAGCTGAGGTAGAATGTCCTTCACTGCAACAGGAGTGAGTGAGAGCAGCAATTCCACGGCACAGTGTGACATCACTTTTATCTCTCAGTAAAAGCAAACTTCACCTGGGGCTGGAGAGGATGAACTGGTACTCAGCCTTCCTGTTGTTAGGTCAACTGCTGAAGCTCCAAGCTCAGGGGAAGACTGGAGGATTTTCTCTAAATAGTTTCCTTAAATGTCCTGCAGATGGAGAAGAGCATCTTTTTGGAAGGCCCTGGGACAGGCTTAGCCAAATCTAATTCTAGCCACACTCCTTCCTCGTGTCTTAATACAGTTTATCTCAAACCGAACTAACTTGGGAATCAAATTGTTTGTTCTCCCATAAAACAGTGCCAATGGTCAGCCAAACACTGCTGGAGGCAAACGGTGGAATACAGCTTCATGTTTTAAATGCCATTAGCCTCCCCCACATCTTTTTCACATCTAAGAATCATTTTTTTTGCAGATGAGCATAAACTTAACATCATCAAAATATCACTATTACCAAAAAATATGCATGATGTAGGAGATAATATTACAAATGGGGGGACTCAGTGAACACCATGTAAGACCTGAAAAAAGACTGGGTCTTCAAACAGCAAACCACTGAAATAGATAATTAGTGCATATATGTGGTAACTGAGTATGCCCTCCAGTTCAAATGAAACCACATCAGACCATGGGGTCCTAAGACACAGAGTAAAACACCCAAATGGGAAAAACTCCACTTTGAGGTTCGTAGGTGCATTGTCCAAGTCAAAGAAGCTGTTAGGAGCATCCACCCACATTTACTCAACTGACAGAATCAAAGCATTTTAAGGGTGCAATACAACTGTAAACTCTTCAACATATTATTCACGTTACAGAAAACTCAAGCACCAACAGGAACTACTAGTGGACTACTAGTGGAGCACCACTAGTCACCAGTCACCACTAGACCACTAGTCACCTCTAGACCACTAGTCACCACTACACCACCAGTCACCACTAGGCTGCCAGTCACCACTACGCCACCAGTCACCATTAGACCACCAGTCACCACTACACCACCAGTCACCATTAGACCACCAGTCACCACTACACCACCAGTCACCATTAGACCACCAGTCACCACTACACAGTCACAATTAGACCACCAGTCACCACTACACCACCAGTCACCATTAGACCACCAGTCACCACTACACCACCAGTCACCATTAGACCACCAATCACCACCAGACCACCAGTCACCACTACACCACCAGTCACCATTAGACCACCAGTCACCACTACACCACCAGTCACCACTACACCACCACTACACCACAAGTCAGTGCGCTAAAATTTAACTTTCTTCATTTTAGTTCCATGCGTAAAACATATAGCATTAAATTTTTAAAAAATTTAAGCTATAAAGTAGGCAAACAATAAATATCTGTTAATGGAATTGATGAAGCACGGAAGCAGGGTTCCAGAACCGTCTTGATATACTACTGTGGACAAAATAACCACGTAATCAACTTGACTCAGATGCTGACTTACACAAGACAACCTCGGGTTAGTACTATAAGGCATCCCATCCACCAGATATAAACTGCTACGAGAACAATTATTGAAGCAGGCAACTTTATGGTAAGATCAAAGCTCTAGAACAAGGAGTATTTTTAAATAAATCTACATAGGAAACAATACAGGTTTCATAAAGTGCAGCTTTCATGGGAAAATCCGTAGAAGGCAAGTATGACTAAGCAATCAAATAATTAGAAACCCCAGAAACTGTGACAAGTTTGAAAACCAGAACACAACTGCACATAAAGATACGCTGGGTGTTCCCTGTGAAAACGGGGGTCTTCGTACCACAGAACTGGGTTATTTTAAAATAAAAAGCTGCAGTGATTTATAGGGATTTTCAAACAATATTTTATTCCATACTCCATCCCACCCACTTAAGAAACAAATTTGGGGACAATCTGTCCACTGGGCAGGCAACACGCTGGACCAAACTTTATAAACCATCACTCTTGCTCTGATATATCGGATTCACAAATCGGACTGTTAGAACTGTAGTTAAAAGTTTTAGCTATGGAAACCAAGACTTAATAATTACGTAAAACACGTTTGCTACATGCCTTATTCTGTGGACTGTTAAGTGTACTTCTTAATTTTTCCTTAAGGTGTGACTATTTGGCTATTTATCTTCTTTAAAAAAAATAATAAAACCTTCCTAAAAGAATTAAACACCCTACCAACAAATACGCCCCCCAAAAAATACCAAAAAAAAAAAACCCCACCCCAATTTATAGATTTCCAAGATGAAATTCACAACACTACGGAGGGGAAAGAAAACACATGGACACACGTTTACACAGAAAGGTAAAAATATTCACCACACCCCAGGCAGAAAGGCGACAGTGAAAACAACCCTGACCCAACAAGACAAATGTGGTTTACGGTCCTGTTAGGTCAGGCGTAAAAGTAAAGAAACGGACTTGGGAAGAGAGTGGCGACCAATCGCTTTAAACTAGTTTCATTGGGAAACTACCACCAAGCCAAAGTAGCCAAAGCTCCCACAGGGAACAGGCGGACTGGGCGTCGGGAACCCCCAAAGCGAGGACGGCCCCGGGGTCGGGCAGCTGCGGCAGGGGGTTGGCTGCGGGCAGCACCGGGAGGACAGGTCTCCACGCCCTCCGCCTCCCAGCCGGGTCCGCGCTTGACGGTCACCTGCCCGCGTTCCAGCCCCGCGCTCACCGCCACGAAACCCGAAGACGAGGCTATGAACACGCGGACCACCATCCTCTCCCTGCACGCCGGGCCAGCGGGAGCGGAGGTTGAGAGCCGCAGAGGCTGCGGCCGCCGTCGGAACACGCTCAGCCGTCGGCGAGGACCGCAGGACGCGTCTCGCTCCCGCCGCTCCGCGGATGAAAGCCCAGCACCCGCGGCCGCCGGCTCAACGGGAGGCGAGGCGGGGCCGGGCCGCGGGGCCTGACGGGAGTTGTAGTTTTCGCGTCTCCCCGAGCGGCCCGGGGGCTGCGCCCCTTCGTGCACGCGGTGGGCCTGGGGAGAATCCAAAGTCGGGGAGAACCTGTGGGCTGGGAAGCCGCCATACAAGGGCAAAAGTAGTCAGAGGGTTCGGTTCAAAGTCCGAGCTTGGGTTTTGTCTGCGGTGGACGGGTAGAGCATCCTCACCCAGAAACGCCTAAACGCTGCCTGGACCCACGGTTTCAGATCGACCCGGCGTAGGCACGCCCCAGAGACCTGCGGCCCCTACGCGGTGGCGGTGGGCAGGCCTTCTGTTTTGCCGGAGCTCTGGAGGCTGTAGAAGGGTGATTTGTATAAAAAAGGGTTGGGGGACAAATGTGTAACCCAGGCTGACCTCGAACTTACCATCCTCCTTCCCCAGCCTCCCCGGTAGCGGGATTGCCGGCCTCCGTCATCACGCTGTTTGAAAGGTGAATCATTTAGGTAAATGAAAGAGAAGCTTTCTCTTTTGTGCAGACACTGAAACTTGGAAACTCAGATTGAACACAACTCATATTTTATTTTTCTTAGCAAAATCGTAATTGTAGTAGAAAAAAGTAAGTACCAAGAGAAATGAAAATTCTTCTGTCAGCATTGGGAATCAGAACACCCACACCACCCCCGACCCTACACAATGGCGTTCCTCTGTGCACCTAATATTTACAGTTGGGCCAAATCTGTGCCTTTTTCAAAACCACTGCACATTCCAGCGCGGTATCCAGGGAGGACACCATTAACTAGAAAGCTTTTATGTAGTGGCTAATAGTTTACGAATAGTTCTTTAGCAAGTTCTGCTTGACAAAAGCTCCAGTCTCTCAGTTCTGTGGAAATGAACCAATTTTCTTAGCAGTACTGTATTTACTTTCTTACTTTCAGCAGGGGAGTTTAGTGGAGTTCTGGGAACAAGGTTAATTAATAGTTCTAGAAAGAAGGAAATTGCATGATGAAATCTCCCACTTTGTCAAATTTCTAGCACAAATACTAGCTGATTGAAGGAGCTTTACTGATATTTAAAGTTTCTAACATTTCTTATCGCTTATCCGTAAAATTTTTTGTTTATATTTATTTATGTGTGTGTATGAGGGCAACACAGCGCATGTGTGGGAGTCAGAGGACACTTGTAGGAGCTAATTCTCTCCTACCACCATGTGGCATGGCAACAAGAAACTTTACCAACAGAGCCATCTCGCTGGCCCTGATATTGCTTATCTTAAGCCATTTTGGTAACAGTCATTTTAAAAATTTAGTATAGTAAAAGAGATACAATCCTGATAGGATTTTATTTCTTCTTAGTGTTAAAATATACATTTTGCTGTCGTTAATATCACTCTGCAGATGTCAACAGAGCCATCTCGCTGGCCCTGATATTGCTTATCTTAAGCCATTTTGGTAACAGTCATTTTAAAAATTTAGTATAGTAAAAGAGATACAATCCTGATAGGATTTTATTTCTTCTTAGTGTTAAAATATACATTTTGCTGTCGTTAATATCACTCTGCAGATGTATTTTGATTTTACTATCGTAAACGTGCATGCATCCCCTCCTCAGAGCTTTGCTGCAGGCATCACCTGTCTTCCACAGAACT